CAAAAACCCCCCGATCTCTGAAAGTTGGCAATGAACTCATCTTAGAAACTTCTTTGTATCGCACAAAACCCAGCTGCTGGCCGGGAGCCCCCAAGGGACCAGGATTTGGACACTCCCAGGCGGCGGCGGGGGCACCCCTCCGCTGCAGGACTTCTTTCCACACTGGCTTCTTCGAGCCCAGGACGGCCTTGCCAGCCCCAGGGCCCCAATCCCCCACCAGCCAGGCAGTGGCCGGGCAGCCAGCTCTCGGGGTCAGCAGGCCTGTGGGCGCCACCAAGCCCCTGCCCTCCTTTGGGAGACGGGGCTCGGGCCAGGCCAGCTTCCTGGAGTGTGGTTTGCTCCCCCTGGTGGAAGCAGGCTGCCCAGGGCAGGCAGGCAGCGCGTCTGGGGCAGGTGAATCACGGGTGTGTTGTGGCTGTGACGTGGGAACGTCTACGTGGGATCTTCTGGCCATGGCTGCCCAGCACGGCACTTAGCTGAAAGTCACCGCGGGAGGGCTGGGCGGGGCAGGGGGTGGGGGAATGCACCTGCCTGTCCCTAGACTCACGGGCAGCCAGGATGGGATTACCTGGGCTGGGAAGGGAAGTGCAGCCTAATCCCACCTGGCACCTGGCTGTACCCCAAGCCGGGCAGGGCGCAGCCGGGGGCGGGGGGAGCAGCATGCCTGGCCCAGGGCCCCACACTCACCAGTCCTGGCAGCACCTTGAAGAGTGTCTGCTCCACAACCCCGAAGAGTGGTGCGGGCAGCAGCCTGGGCGGAGGAAGGCAGTGAGGGCGTGGCTGCCGGGGGCCCGGGGCACCCCGATCGGGAGGCACTGGGGCTCTGGATTCTCCCGTCTCCTCTCTCGGGGCTTTGGAGAGCTGGGTTTAAATTCTGGCTCTGCCCCACCAGGGGGCCCGGGGTTGGCTTTACTTTCCCTGGCTGTGCGGCGCCTGACGTGGGGTGTGTGCTCGATCCATGTCTGTTTGCTTCAGGTGGCCTTTGGGACCAGATTGGTGCCTGGCTCAGAGTGGGGGGTCAGTAAGTAGTTGTTGAATGAATGAATGAATGAATGTGGGAGGCCCGAGGATGAGGGCTGTGTGTCGATGGGCTCAGGCCTGTTTGCAGGGAGAGTGGTGGCACCCACAGAGCCACCGCCACAGGACACCAGCACACTCCCCACTGGCCACGCCTGTCCCGTGTCCACTCCCTCCTAGGCCCCTGGCAACCCAGAGGAGCAAGAGAGAGCCCAGAGCCTCTGTTAAGGCTGTTCTGCTCTGGCTCACCCTCGTCCTGGGGGCCATCACTGCTCAGAGCCAGCCACAGAGCTGGCTGAGGCTGGGATGCAGGGACCCATGGGGGCAGACACAGGTGCAGGTCAGGGGAGAAGGTACAAGGAGCTGAGAGAACCCCTGACCTGGTAGGAGACAGCCCCCGCCAGCTGCCTCAGTCCGGGTGATGGCTCCGCACAGGTGTGGGGAGGCTGAGGGGCCGGGCAGAAGCCTGGCAGCCAGCACCCGGGTTCCGGCAGACGAGGGACCGCCCCCACCACGCCCCGCGCAGGCTGTAGCTGGGGAAGCCGACCGCGGGATCCCGCACGCACGCAGCGCTGAGCCTCACCCCGAGAGCAGGCTGATGTGGCCCAAGAGCGTGCTGCACCGCTTCAGCACCAGCGTGGGCGTCCCGCGCGGGCTCATGCCCAGCGCCACCCGCGAGGACACGTTCACCTCCGCCGCCAGCTGCAGGAGGCCCCCCAGGGGGCTGCGAGACCCGGCGCTGGGGGCGTGGCCAGGCAGCCAGGCCCCGCCTGCCACGCCCGCCCTCAGGAGGCGCGAGTCAGGTTCTGGTGGGAGTGGCCTGGGCCCTGTGTCCCTTTCTCACACCCTGCCTCCCTGCGCCCTCCTCCCATCCCCTCTGGCGCGCTCCAGCCGGTGGGGTAGGAGCCCCAGCGAGAAAGAGGTCCCTGGGGTGGGATCCAGTGGGAAACAAGGAAGGTGGGGAGTCCCCTGGGGAGGGGGGAGGGGATAGGAGCAGAGGGATAGGGATCCCCTGCGGGGTGGTGGGGCAGCTTCAGGGTGTGGCAGGGAGGGGGCACTCACCCGGAGCCATGCAGGCCCACCTTGGTGTGCAGGTTCAGCTGCACCCCAAACCCCGGCAGCAGCTTCAGCGACACCTTGGGCAGCGTGAGTTCCTCCACCTTCAGCCTGGGGTGGGAGTGCAGGAAGGGCGCTCTCCCAGACACCCCTGCCAGAGGGGCCCAGGGATCGCTCCCGGTGCAGCCCCAGCCCACAGAACCAGCTGTGAGCCCTCGGGCCCCAGTGGTCTCATCTGTGCGGTGGGGCCACCTCCTAGGGGCGTCGGCAGAGGGAGATAGGGGGTGCAGCCTGCATTTTCTCCCCACACCTCAGCCTCAGCCCTGGCTTCTGAGCCCTGCCTGCCCCCTCGGGCTCACACACGTGCAACCCCAGTGGGCGCTCCGTGTCTCCTCGCCGCGCTCCGTGTCTCCTCGTCAGTCGTTAGCTTCTCTGTCCTCTGGGCCTTTGCCTGGGCGGTTCCCTCTGTCAGGGACGCCCTTCCCCTGGGTCTCTGCCCTTCATCTCCTTGCAGCTAGCGCACTCTGCCTGGCACCCCCTCCTCCAGGAAGTCTTCTCTCCTGGTCCTAAGGCTGCCTGAGCCGCCTCCATCAGGGCCCTGGGCTCCCGGGCCTTAAGCCTGTACCATGCTCTGCTACCTCCTGGGGGCTCTTTGCAGCAAGGACAAGGTCAGGTTCATGTGTGAGTGCCCAGGCTCAGCCCCAGGGGATTCCACTGTGGGAAGGCTACTGGATATACTAATAATAGCATTTATTGAGCACTTACTGTGTGCCCAGCTCTGTTCCGCCTGCCACAGATCATTGTCCAGGCAACAACCCCAGGAGTAGCTGCTAGTCCTCCTGGTGAGGCCAGGCAGAGCCGGACAGTTCACATTCCAGCTTTGCCGCTGACTCTGGTGCCTGGGCAAGGCACGCGGCTGCTCCGGGCCTCCCCTTGCACACCTGCCTCCGAGTGACCCTTGGTGAGCTTGGAGCAACAGCTGCCCCTACCAGTGCTTTCCAGAGCTCAGATGCCAGTGAGGGAGGGGCCACCGTGCCGCTCAGTGGTCACTTTCAGACAGTGCATTTAAAAGGGTCCAAGGCCCCCCAGGGCCTGCAGCAGGTGGGCAGCTGTACACCCCTCCGCCGGACTCACCCAGAGAGCTCTTCCACAACTCCGAAAACCCCTCCGTAGCTCAGAAGGCCGCCTCCTCCGAGCAGCCCGCCCGAGCCCAGGAGGCCCTGGTTCACGGACGTGACGGTCCCCAGCACGTTCTGCAGAATGGGGCCCCCGACCAGCGAGTTCTGGATGGCTGCAGAGAGGGTGGGGGCAGGAAGGCGCTAGAAACCCGCACCCCCACCCAGGACCTGGCTGCTGCCGCTTCCCCCGGCCTGAGGAACTCGCTTCTCCTGACAGAGTTGACCCAGCGGTCACACTCGGGGGGCTCTGGCTCCTGCTCGCCGCCTCGCACGTGGGGTACTCAGTGTCTGTGGAATGGACGAGTGATTCCCAAGACGATCCCTTTACACCCTACCCCGTGTCTCCCTGAGCTGCTCGCTGCCCCCCACGGCCTCAGCCGGGGTCAGCCAGCCCACCTCTCGCAGTGATGGGACGGCCCGCGGGGGCCTGTGGGCAAACCTTGGCCTCCGGAACACGCCCGGCCCCCCCCCAGAGCCCTGGAGAAGCCTCTCCAGGTGGGGACGCTCACCGCTGTTCTCATCTGTCTCTCAAAGCAGATCTGCTCAGCGTACGGGTGGGGTCCCCAGCACACTACCTGCCCCGGGCTCACCTTTGCCAAGCTCATCCTTGTCGATCCGAGCGAGCGTGCCCACTGTCTCAAGCAGTCCCCAGCACGGACTCACCAGGCCCCAGATCAGGAGCAGGGACCCTATACCCACCATGGTCGGCCGCACACCTGTGAGGGGTAGGAGCAGGAGCTCAGACACCCTGCATGCCCAAGCCCCGCCCCTCCCCGGTCCCCACCACCCACGCCGGCCCCTCCCACCCAACCAGTACAGCCCAAGTCCAGGGTCACTCCCAGGAAAACCCCCACCACATGGGGGCCAGCCGGTGGTGGCTAGCAGGTGCGCTGCGTGGTATAGCATCCCAGGCACTGTCCAAGCCTCCCCTGCTTCAAACCCCATCTCACAGATGGGAAAATTGAGACCCAGAAAACAGAGGGACTTGACCAAGGCCACAGAGCTAGTCAGCGGCAGGGCCAGACTCCAAGCCCGAGGCCATGTGACGTGCAGGTTCCCGTCTTCTGCAGCCTGGGTGAGCCCAGCCTGCCGTCTGGAGGGACCGCAGGATGGTGGCTGCAGGTCTTGCCCTGGTTGCCGGCTGGCTCGTGAGGCCGTCTCAGAAGGTGTGGCTTCATCCCAAGTGTTATAGAAATGGGCAGGCAGTGGGAGGTGAGCCTGGCTGATTTACCAGTTTCACCGAGTGGCAGTTTTCTTTAGGGAGACCACCTCTGCTGGAACCCTGCGGCGGCCCCCACTGCCTGTGGGAGGACTCCCAAGCTCCCCATGAAGTCCTTGCCGTCCCGACCCACCGCAGGGCTCTTCTCCGGTTGGCGTCCTGACTCATTGTCATTCGGGTTCTGAACAGCTGTGACCCCCTGGGAGAGGCCCCTTCCCCTCCCCGTCTGCAGGGGCGTGGCCTTCACCAGCCATCACACCCTGTGTGTATCTCAAGGCACTCATCACAACTTGCATCCAAGCCCTGTGTGTTTGTGCTTTGCTGGCCACCTCGGGAGGCTCCCCCAGGGCGGGGCCCAGGCCTGGGGTCTCCATACCACCGTGTGCAGGGGCTGGAAAGCCAGCAGGGCTTCCCTTAGCAACCTTGGCCCTGGGCAGAGAAGGTGCCATCCTCATTGCACAAAGGAGCTGCCAGCAACCCGGCTGCCTCGCACTTGTCTCCCAGGCCTCACCCCAGAGCAGAGCGGTTCCCTGCTCCCTCCAGGGTCTCTCCCAGAGAAGAGCACCCCTCGAACCCTGCCCCAGGAGGACACGGTCCCCGGGCCTGGCCCTGCCATGGCCTTGCCCACCGAGCCCAGCTTCTCCACTCCTAGTGGGAGTTCTGTGCCCGGTGTTCAGATGGGACAGAGAGGGTCCCAGGGTCCAGGACCGGCTGGCCAGGGCTCAGCACGGGGTGGGGGCCGTCTCCCGCTGCCTTACCGCTGGCTTCTGCTGCTCCACAAGGGGCCGGTGGGGGCTCCGGCCTCCCGCTGTCTCCTCCACCCGCTCCAGCCCCGGGGCGGCCCTTATATGCCCACAGCAGCTCCAGGGACACAAAGGGGGCCCAGCGGCCAGAAAGCCGTCAGGGTGTCATGTCAGAGGCGAATTGCGGTTTTCCCAGAGGGCCTGGGCTAAGCCTTCCTTCTGCAGGGAGAGTGAGGGGCTGGGGTCAGTGCCAGGGGCGGGAGTGAGTGCCCCTCCTCGGGGGCTGGAGGCGGGCACGGGGCTCTGCCATCTCCCCAGCCCCCTTGGCTGCCCTCCAGCCCCGCCCCTGCCCCCATCAGGGCCCCGGGAGCCAGGGGAGGGGGTGAGGCTGCTAGGTCTTCTGATCACCTGTGTCCCCCTCCCCCAGGGCCTGGGGAGAGGAACTCCGGGTGGGTGGGGGAGGGACCTGCTCGGCCCCCCCACCTCCCGAGGTCCTGTTTGCCCTCCATCCCGGGGAGAACTTCATTCATTCATCCATTCGTTCATTCACACCCCCGCTCATTCTACAGCTGGCATTTGTGGGGCACCTGCTATTTTTAGAAGCTGTTTTCTAGATGTTCTTCTACAAGCAGAAGAGACAGACCCTGTCCTGGAGGAGCCGATCGCCATTTAAGTGTTCCTGGAAGCCATGTTTACAAAAAGGTGGAGAGAATCAGATGGGATTAATTGTAACAATTGTGACAGAGCTACACTGTTACTCAGAGCTAAAATCAACCTAAAACGTTTCCCACACCTTGCTGCTTGCTTGCTTGCTTGCTTGCTTGCTTTCTTTCTTTCTTTCTTCTCTTCCTTCCTTCCTTCCTTCCTTCCTTCCTTCCTTCCTCCCTTCCTTCCTTTCTTTTAATTAATTTATTTGACAGGCAGAAATACAGATCGAAAAGGAGAGAGAGAGATAGAGAGAGATCTTCCATTTGCTGGTTCACTCCCCAAACAGCTGAAATGGTGAGGGCTGGGCCAAGCCAAAGCCAGGAGCTTCTTCCCAGCCTCCCACGTGGGTGCAGGGGCCAGAACACTTGGGCCATCCTCTGCTGCTTTCCCAGGCACATTAGCAGGGAGCTGGATCTGAAGTGGAGCAGCTGAGACTTGAACTGGCACCCATAAGGGATGGTGAGGCCGCAGGCGGAGGTCTAACCTTCTTCACCACAGCGGTGGCCCCATGCTGTGTTTCTTGTTTCCAAAAGCCACTGGCGGCACGCCAGATGTGGCCCGGCCGCATCTCAAGCCGTCGTCTCGTTTCGTGAGGCTGCTGGCCGCGGCAGTGGGCAGCACAGCTCTGGAGCCAGCAAACCCAGGAAGCAGCAGGTCACGCTGGTGACAACAACAACCCCAGGGAGGGGCTGTGGAGCACGAGAAGGGGTGCGTGGTCAGTGCTGGGCTGGGGAGAAGAGGGCGCAGTCCCAGGACCGCTGGGGGACGTCCTAAGTCCGTATGGGGGTGGGGCCAGGGAGGCCCCTGGGGGACCTGGGGCCAAGGACGGATTCAGGACTTGGGCTTTTCTTGGCATTTCTTCTAGAGGCCGGTCCCCAAGCGCAGCTTTCAGGCCCCCAGGCCCCGGGATTTCCTCTCTGTGAGTCTGTAACACCAGGCTGTCACCGCACGTCTGGGCATGTGTCTCCTGCCCTGGCCCTGAGCCCTTGCCTGGTGGTGTAACTCAGGGAATTCTCGCAGACTGAGCTCTCCAGGAGTCCCCCGATGTCCCCTCCAAGCCACTGTCCTGCCCTCCAGCACGCTCGCCGAGTCCAGCAGGCGCTCCCCTGACGCTCAGGTCGCCCGCCCTATCCCAGTGTGGACCCCACAGCATCAAGACCCCTGGGCGAGACCCCACCTTCTAACGGTGACGGCACTGGGCCTGGGTCTCCCGCTCTGCACCCTGGAGATGGGGACAGAAGGTCCTAGGTGGCTGGGAGTGTCCTGTGTGAGCCCCCCCAGCGGGGGTGGGGGGAAGGGCGTCCCTGGCACACCCAGGGCCCGCCCCTGGCGCCCCTGGATTACCCGGGTGTCTGTCCCTGCCAGGCCAGCCTCAAGGCTGCCATTGTCCACATGGTGGGGAGGTGACAGCTGATGGGATTAGGGTTGGCTGTGAGGGACAAGGGCATGCCCTGTCATCCGGGCCTCCCTCCTCCGCGCCGTGGGCCTGTGCCAGGCAGGGCCAGGCACACCTGCTAGGGCCCCACTGGCTGAGGGAGCACTGGCCTCCTGTCCAGGGCTCTGGCCACACCTTGGACACGTGTGTGACCAGACATGGACCTGCAGACCCCTACACTCACAGACTCGCGGCAGGCTTGCTGACAGGTGCACGCACCAACACACGGATGCTGGGACTCCCAGCCAGCACCCCACAGTGCCCCCGGGCCAGCGCACTGCCTGGGAGACCCTCGGATGCTTTGTACTTTCCAAATTCTGGATTTTTCACTCTCCAGCAGGCGACACTGATCTCGGGGTCTGCCCAGAGCACATGTCTTTCACTGACCGAGGCAGAAACCTACACAGATGTCAAAGAGCCAGCTAAGGAAGAGCGGTGGCGTGAGTCCCAGGGCGAGGACGTGGGCAGAGGCAGTGACGCTGGGAGCTGATCCTCACGGGAGTGTGCGGCTGAAACACCCTCGGCCCAGGTCCGCGCGAGTGAGCCAGGAACACGGACACCAGCGAACGCAGGCGCCCCTCCCCCCCACAGCCCCTGGGCCAGCCCCGCCCCTCCTGGGGCCTTGCACTCAACAGCACAGAGCGCCCCGCTCCTGCTCTTGGCCTCAGGGACCCACCCGTGGCCAACAGTTGTCCCACTGACGGAGATCTGGGCAGTGCACCGAGCACTTTTTTTTTTTTTTTTTTTTAATATTTGTCTATTTGAAAGGCAGATTTACAGAGAGAGAGAGAGATGTCTTCCATCTGCTGGTTCACTCCCCAAGTGGCTGCAACGGCTGGGGCTGGGCCAGGCCCAAGCCAGGAGCCAGGAGCTTCTTCTGGGTCTCCCATGCAGGTGCAGGGGCCTAAGCACTAGAGCCATCCTCTACTGCCCCCCAGGCCATAGCAGGCAGCTGGATCGGAGGTGGAGCAGCCGGGCCTTGAACCGGCGCCCATGAGATGCCGGCGTCTCAGGTGGAGGCTTAGCCCGCTGCGCCATAGCGCCGGCCCCACTGAGCACTTCCGTGATTTGATTCCTGTCACCCTCACAGCAGGTCATACTGTGGGGAAACAGGCTCAGACTGGTTAAGTGATGGCGCAGGACACACACAGCCTGCTCCGGAGCCAACATTCCCACCCCAGCCCTGCCTCGAGCTCGCTGTTCCACCTCGCTAAGCCCCGGTCTCCCCATCCGGGAAGCGGGCCCAGTCCTCGGCTCCCTCAACTGCTGTGAGGACGTGCTCCTGGGGGCAGGGCTCCCTGGGCAGGCAGCCACCCCAAGATCTGGGGTGAAGAGCTTGCCCCTTGCTAAACTGAGCGACCTCGGACGAGTGGCCGACCCTGTCAAGTGGGGATGACGCCCTCGTCCTCCCTCCCCACCCCCACAGTTCTCGTGGAGGTTAAAGGACGTGGCACAAGCAAAACCCCGAGCGTGGCATTCAGCAGGTGCTCACCACATGCCCAAGGCCACGCCCACGGCTGCGGCCAGCTTCCCTCCACACCCACCAGAGGGAAGAAATCCACACACCAGTCTGCTACCAAAAAAAGAGAGAGACAGAGGCACC